AACGTTAGTGGTCAATTTAATCTTGGTGACTGTTATCGAAATGGTATAGGAACGCGAAAAGATCACAAAAAAGCATTTGAGTGGTATTTTAAATCTGCAAAGAGTGGAAATGTCAGTGGTCAATTTAATCTCGGTTATTGTTATCATAATGGAATAGGTACACAAAAAGATGAGAAAAAAGCATTCGAGTGGTATTTGAAATCTGCAGAGGGTGGAAACGTTAGTGGTCAATTTAATCTTGGTGACTGTTATCGAAATGGTATAGGAACGCGAAAAGATCACAAAAAAGCATTCGCGTGGTATTTTAAATCCGCAAAGGGTGGAAATGTCAGTGGTCAATTTAATCTCGGTTATTGTTATCATAATGGAATAGGTACACAAAAAGATGACAAAAAAGCATTTGAGTGGTTTTTGAAATCAGCAGAGGGCGGAGATGCTGACGGACAATTTAATCTCGGTTTCTGTTATCGAAATGGAATAGGAACGCGAAAAGATGACAAAAAAGCATTTGATTGGTATTTGAAATCAGCAGAGGGTGGAAATGTTATTGGACAATTTAATCTCGTTTATTGTTATCGTAATGGAATAGGTATACAAAAAGATGAAGAGAAAGCGTTCGAGTGGCATTTAAGATCAGCACAAAATGGACTTATGGAACAACACGAGATCGAAAATCTTTTTGTAAAAGAGGAATTTGTATTGATATCCAATACGACACCATTTTTGAATTACAGTTCTGAGTATCAGCGCATTGAATATGACAGTCAATTGAAAAGTAATAATTATCAATTATTTGGTAATGTAGTGACTTGCAATGGAGAAAAGTTAGAAAATGTCTGTGTGAAATTTAGTATGAAAACCAAATTTGGTTTTTCTGTGATTTGGCATGATTTCCGACAAAATTATATCCAAGCAGATGATAAGTCAACTTTTGACAGGTAGAGAACAAGAATATTTAAATTTTTATTCTTATTTTGAAATATTAAAAAATTTGTTTGTTTTATAATGAATAAGTGCAAAAACGCCTTATAAGCTTCGATGGATATTAATCGGCTGCCCGAGTGAAATCGGATATTCCAATTCTAATACTCACGACATATCAGCTGACGTTAGAACTGAAGAACTAAAACTTACACGTGATCCTGAATCTGTGAAAATTGATGTGGGACAATCACTTTTTTTAAGAAATATTGTTGCGTATGATATAGAATATGCTTCGTTACCAACTTCTTTATTCTTCGAAGTGAATATCAAAAACTGGCAAGAAAGTGGGTCTATTGAAATAGAAATTAAATCAATCAAAGAGGAAGATGAAGAGGATGTTATATTGATCGATGAAGACGAGGACTTAACAATTACAATTCGATGGTGTGTATTGAGTTTTAAAAATAATTCAGAAATTACTATTTGGAACCAATTAGGAAAATTAGGTGAATTTTTAGAATCAGATAATAATCTTAGCTTTTATTAATGTATATTCTTATTACATGTAACTTCCCTTATTTTGTTTATTATATAAAAGATATTGCTTTCAAATATTTTCAGGATTGTGTACACAGTAAATCTCAATATAAATCCTCGATGTAACAAATTCCTCATTATAATGAATGTTTTGAAAATTGGAACGAATGATTCCGTTGTATTGAGTTTCACTGTATAGATTTTATGACAAAACAAATGAAAACAAAATATGGTCCAGTGCAAAAAGGTTGATACACCAAAAAGTAAAAGTAAAACTTATAATTATTAAAATTTATTAATTAAAAGTTTATAATTTTTTTACACTATTAAAAGTATGTTTTAATCTAATTGTTGTACTATTTTTATTCTTTCATTATCTTTTAATGAAATTTTAGATAAGATAAAACTTTGAATTATTTAAAAAAATTATTTATAGATTTTTAATATTTTTCTATGATATGCAATTTTATAAATTTATAATAAGCAAGTACATTAATGTAATGATGGTAAATATATTGAGAAATTAAGTTTTAAAGTCTAAAAATTTGATTTTTTTTACTATATAAAATTTATAAAAAATAAATATAAATTATTATATAAAAAAATCAAAATAATCAAATTCAAAAAGTTATTGATTAATTAAATTTTTTATTTTTGTAAATATATAGTTCAAGTAATCTATACTCAACAATTTTTTTCAATCTTTAAAATCTTTTAATATAGAGACAAAATTTTCAAAATTTAACCAGTAACTTTATTAATTACAATAAGCTCTATAAAGTTACCAGTCAAATTTTTGAAAATTTTGTCTCTATATTAAGTTAAAAGCTTTTAAAAATTGAAACAAATTGTTGAATATAGATTAATTGAATTATATAATAAAGTAAAAAAATTTTTATTAATAACAAAGTAATGTATAAACATTTTTGCACCAGATTATATTATTTAATTTAATCTTTATATAAATCAATATTTATTTATTACTACTATATTATAAAAAGTTCTACAAAAAAAATTCTAGTACATTTCTAATATCAATTTAATTTTAATACTTATTTTAAAATTAATAATCTAATAAATTTATAATAATATATACTAATATTTTAGAAGAATATTAAAGCAAGATAATAGATTAAAAATTAAGTTAACTCAAATAATTTTATAATTATCTGACTTGACTTAATTTATATCTGTAATATATTTAATAATTGATTGAATTCTGCATAATATTATATTATCAAAACAAAAATAAACAAATATTTTGTTTTGTGATTTAATTCAACAAAATTCTGATTAAATTTAAAATTAGTATATAAAATATCAAATATACAGTGGCAATCAGAAATAATGCAACGACGTCAAAATTTACTAATTAAACATAGTAAAATGCATATTTTTCTC